TGTATTAATTTCTTTTATCCAGGGTCTTGCCCCAATATCTAAAAAATACCAAATTGAGTCATAAACAGAATTTGACATTTATTAATAACCACAATGTAACCATCATTACAATATCACCTTATAAAATTAGTTTTAATACAACATATTTATTGAAAAAGTAAAACTAAATCACTTTTAAATGAACAACAAGCCTATTTTTTGAATTCCAGTAGTGTCTAATTCTTAGCTGAAACAAAGAGAGAAAAGATTGTGTGCCCAATGGTTTAACCTCTTTGATTAAATAATGGACTTGCTCTTTTCGAACACTGAAAAACAAAAACAAAATATCTCATGTAAAGAGCCAAGCTCTCTAGATGGAGACTGAAAGAATATTTGTTAATGCCCATTTCACATTCTACTCTTTTCTCCTTCTTAAAGCTGTAAATAAAGCTCTTCAACATTTAATTGTGTTTCTTCACATTTTGTTTGGATTAACTTTAAAGAGATAAAATTTTTAATCCTGTTCCATTCCTTGTTATAGAGAGTTAGCAGTGTTCAGATAATAAATAAACTTACTGTGCATCACTTTGACATTTGATTATGAGACTGAGAGCAAGTCTACTTTATTCAAACACATAAAATACATATAAAATAAGCAACTATAAATAAAAAGGGAAAAAAGGGAAGAAAAACTCTATCATAAAGTACCATTGGATAATCAACAATAGAATACAGTTTGTGTACTACTTTCTTGACAGATGGAAGCAAGAAAGGATACAAGCGGCGGAAATAAGCACTTAGTTATGAAATTAAATAATAAAAACTATTACCTGTGGAAATACAAACTAGAAAAGATTCTGGAAAAGGAAAATTTGCGGAATCTAATCACCAATGACACACCAAAAGAAACCATTATTGAAAGAATAAAATGAGATGAACAAGCAGAAGCTTCCATAAATTTATTCATAGAAGACAATCAAATTGCATTTAAGAAATAAAACAGCCAATGGAATATAGAATGAATTAAAGAAATCATTCATGGGAAAATGTATCCAGCAAACTTTATCTTCTCAGAAAGCTGCATGAGTTAAAAACAGAAAACAAACACAAGCTTGAAGACACTATGCATCAACGCTATCTTTGAGATCGTAGCCAAACAGTGAGAAGATATAAAAGTTAGTCGTAGTGAAGCACTATTACTAAGCAGTATATGAAAGAGAACAGAGCTTTAAAATCTCACTCAGAAGAACTGATGCTGGAATATGTAAAAATTAAACTAATCGATGAACATTTTAAGAAGAAAAGGAAGCACACAAGCAGAAAAAACAGCTGCTTTGAAAACGAATTTTATCACAAATGTCAAACATTTCAATCAATGAAGTGCAACTATTGCAAAATATACGACACACAGAAAAAGAATGCAGATTGAAGATTCTTAAATAACTAGAAAGAAAAGGACGAAAATGAAAGTAGTAACCTTTTTAAGAATAAACCAACAAGTGACTAAAAGAAATTATGGAAATAAAAGAAACAATATAAAAGAAAGGAAGAAAAAACGTTGTAGTAAACAGGGATACATACGAAAATGAAAATAAATATGAGAAATTTGAAAAGACTGAGAATTATACATTTGAGTTTACCGAAGAAAGAAAATCCTAAAACTCAAATTAGCCAGCTGATTCACACCTGGTATAATATGACCAATAACAAACTTCTTCAGAAAATTCGATAGGAGCAAATAACATTTACTAACAGAACTCAAATGAAATCTGAAGGTATTAATGAAGGATATTTATACTGAGTGGGTGATGAAAATAATAAAAGGAGAATACAATTTGTAGACTTTTTTATATTCCCGACCTTGAGGAATGACTAGTATTAATACAAAAAATCATAAACTGCTGAATTTGCTGGTTTACTGCTGAATTTGCAGAAGGTACTTACAGAATAAAGAAGATAAATAAAACCATAGTGATTGAAAAAGAAGAAGGAAATTTATGTAAAATAATTGAATTGCAAGAAAAAAACTGAAAGCAAAGTTATGAAAAGGTGTGAAAACAACATACATCGCTGGCACAGAAGATTGGGTCATAGAGACTATGTAGCAGTCAAAAAGCTGAAGAATTATGAGTTAGCAACTGGAACAAAAATTGATGGAGAAATCGGAAGAAACAAAGAATGAAGTTTACATTAGAAGTAAAATGTTTGATTTACTGCATTATAAGCAAAACTGTTAGACAGCAAAATCGATTCCGGATTCGATATAGTGGATCAACTTGTATAACATCGCTAAGCAGAAGGAAATACTTCACAGCATTCACTGATGATTATTCGAGATGCACAGTGTCTATTTACTAGCTACAACAGATAAAGCTATTTCTAAGTTAAAGAACAAGTTTAGAAGGAGGAAAATACACAAACAAAGAAATAGATAGGAATTAATGAAGAATACAACAAACAAAGAAACTGAAGAATATCTAAAGAAATAGGGAAATCAAACATAAAACCATTATACTATATTTGCATCAACAGAATGGTCAAAGAAAAGAAAAATCGATACATGATGGAAATGACAAGATGCCTTCTACTCAATTCAAGACTCCAAAAAAGAATTCTGGGGCAAAGCTGTAATGACAGCCACCTACCTACAAAATAGACTGGTATCAAGATCAATTGAGCAAACACTGTATAAACTTTTGAATGACAAAAAGGCTAAATTTAAGCCATGTGAGAGTTCTTGGGAGCACAGCTTATTACCTGGTTCAAAAGCAGAAAAGAAATAACATGGATGAAAAAAATAATTCTTAATGGATACAGTGAGCATACTAAAGGGCATAGATTTTATATGGCATATCCAGATAATGCTGTCATCTAAAGAAGCACAATATTTGATGAAAACAAAAAGGAAACAATATCTGAAGAAATAAATGATCGGAATGAAGAAATAGAATGGAAAATGAATAGACAGAATCATGCTTAGAAAAAAGAAGGATGGAGGTAATGTAATTGAAATAGAAGAGCTAAATAACTGTTGAGAAAATCCCAAAGAAGAGCCTGAGTTAGCTTTACAAATAGATTCTCATACATGGCAAAGAAAGAAGAAATCAAAATTTCTAAAGACGCTAGAATTGCAAACTTTCTGACCCTCATCCAAAGTAAAATAAAATAAAATGAAAAAAAAATAAATAAATGAACTGCGGTTAAAATCTACAAAAGAAATGCAATCACTGAAGAGAAATAAAATACGGAAATTGTTATCTTCCAGAAGGAAAGAAAGCAATCAGAAATAAATGGACATTCAAAATGTAAAGCTTAAGGATATCATAAAGATATAAAGCTCGTCTAGTAGTTAAAGGATACTGCCAAAAATTCAGACATGACTTTGATCAGGCATTTGCACCAGTCATAAAAAATGCGACAGGAAGGACAATCTTCGTGACAGGAGCTTAGAAAAATTGAGGAAATAAGTGTTTAAGATTTACTTTGTAATTTGTAATATAGATATTGTGAGTTTTTATGTATTTTTCCCTTGTTGCGAAGTGAGAACTGAATTAATTGAATGAGAAATACTGAATTGTCTGTGAAAAACTGTTCCTTTTTTGTTTTATTTGCTTAATTTCTTTTATACATCGTTCTAGATTTATTATAGTATTTGAATAAAACATGCGGCAACGATTACATAATTCTTCAAATAATATAGATTTTGTGCATTCTGAGTTACAATATGAATGAAATATAACGCTGTTAAGAGAACCTAGCGCCAGAGTGTCGCTATGGTAAACAAATATAGCGAATTTTTAAGAGTGCATTTATTCTACTGTGGTTTATGTGCTATCGACGAAGTAGACTTAATTCAATCCAATAAGTTTAAATGAAATGCAAGAAAAAATGTGTATAATTTAATAATAATTAATGCGTACAAGGAAGTGATGTGGTGTACACATCAGATTTTTGGTTACGTGACACAGGTTACATCTAAAATACTGGCAAGCCCAACGTCCTCTTCAAAGGTTTGGCGCTAATATAAAATTGCACTGCAAATCAGTATAAAAAAGTAAACCTTTTAAAACATTATTTTACTGCACTTAATACCCCAATAACATCTGGGGGAAGACTTAGATATTTGCTACTGTATAGTGTTTGTGTGGCATGTAGACAACTAAATTACTGGGAAGCAAAAGTACTTTTGAGTGGCTTGGTGGTAGGGGTAAAGGAAAGTGTTTCCATTACAGTTGAGAAGAAACTTGGTTCTTGTGGAAGTAAAACCAGTCACTCCTTTCGTGCCGCTTGGGCAACATTCTCCATGCTGAGATGGCTAAATGACCGATGATTATTGGACGTTCTCAATGAATGCATTAAGTTTCAACTGTCCAGCCATTTGAAGCAACTTATTTTTCTCTTTCGATGCTTCCTAAGTAAAATAAATTATAATTTATAACACATTTTGAATTTGTAATTTTGTGAAATATTTTATAACTCTTAATTTTGTTCAAATTGGGCTCTAAGGGCTATAGACTGGTTAACAATTATTCAGAATAGTGATTCCCAAGGTGTGGAATAGCAGATATTATCTTGCATCACATAAAACTTCAGAATATTGTTCCTTAAAGTTATAATTATACGTATCTACCTGTTGTTATGAATTAATTAATAATTATCACATTATTATCTTCTCTCTTTCAGAGGAACTATATCAATCACAAGCTGAAAAGTTTCTGAAAAATTGCTTTAGAGCGATTCAATCAAACAACTTTTTAGCTTCAGCTTTTCTCCCCAGCTTATTGAACTACTTCAACAAGAATTTAAAAAAAAAAAACTTTTGATCATAACATCACTGCAATATATTCTGCAAGACGAGTTAAGTTTTTTATTCACAGTTCTTAAGCCATTCTCACATGCACAACAAAGTACATTTAATCTCTTAAACTTGCATCAAGACCCACCAGCAGCCGACCGATAAAAGCTGCCGAATACTGGTAGTTCGGTCAAAAGTAAGAAAGAAAAAAAATCTACAAAATTACCTAGTTCAGAATAGCAGCTTTCATCATCTACAAACATTTGATTTGTGACCAGTTGATAATATAAGCCATGCTTTTCCATCAGTTCTTCATGAGTGCCTTGTTCTTTTATGATTCCATTTTCCATGGCACAAATTACATCAGCATTTCTAATTGTTGAAAGACGATGCGCAATGATCACAGTTGTTCTTCCTTCTTGTGCCTAAATAAATGCATCAAAGTAACGTAATATATACATATATGTAATTTAAAAAACCGAATACTTGTGCTAAAGCTGCGAAGTAATAAATCATTTGTTTATATATATATATTTGTACGTAGGTATGCATATGTACACATATGTATAGATGTTACTGTATAATACTTATTCTTTTTTATTTTAAATTATCCCATTATCCCACTATTTTTAATAGAAACAAGCATTTTATACAAGTTTCTATCATTATTTGTATTACACAGAATGCTCATAATGTATAACTATTTTTAAATAATAAATTATGTGAAGACGTACTAACTGGAGATTAAGAGAATGGGATGAAGGTAGTTTAAAATAATTAGTTCATCACTGATTATGCCAAATACTAGGTTAAATAGAATGAGAATTTAACTTTTTTTTTTAAATACTGATTCAAACTACAATTATTTAAAATGGAAAGTTCCTAATATATACAAAAATTCCATTCTGTAAATGAGTATGTAACAGATAAACAGTTAATAAGAATTATGTGGCACTTTTTATAAATGGGAGAAAATGCTACAGCATACTATATTTTATGCATATATATATATATGATGGTGACACATACAGATTATTGAGTATCTAGTTCCAGTTATGTGGTGAGTTTCCAAAGCCGGATAGTTATTTAGCACTATTTAAAATACAAAGTTTGCAATGCGATTTGAAAATATACATCTGATTCACAGCATTAGATTTTAAAACATAACAGAAATTTGAAAATATGTATATTACAAACTGTAGCGGTTCAGATTGGCTTATATTGAAACTCAAGATAAGTTTCAACAGGCACATTTCATAAATGTTATACACCCAGACATGTTAGCAAGAAAACATTATGTAGCGTAAAATGATTTTTATTTAAAAAAGAAAAAATTAAGTACAAGGCACTTCAAATAAATTTACGTTCTTAGAAAGTGAAAGAGTATACAAGAGAATTGAATTAATTTTAAAAGTAACAATAAGACAAAATATTTTTCATAAGATTTATTTGAACTAAGAAACACATTTTAACATGAACTATGTATAGCTAAAATATTTTTGGACTTCCATTTTGATACTTATTTTTCTAAAATGTTTACAAAATTTTTAATTTGATTTCTTAATTGTATACAACTGTTTGTACCCCAAGAAAAACAAAAGAAAACTAAATGATGGCGATCAAGTTCTGCAACAAATATGATTTTCTGGATTTCTTCTCTTTTTGTAAAATTTTATTTAAATAGTAAAGATTCGGTTTTATCAGATGGCAACAAATTGGGTATAATTTTTACTTAAAAAGAGAAAATATGTATATGATTTCCTGTTAGTTTATATGTCAGCTAATTTTGTTTCACAGAAATCAGAATCTGTAATACACTCAACTCTTGATTAAAGGGGGCACAATAACTGAACCTTGTCTGCAAAAAACGTTAACATTGCTTATGTGGAGCACTAAGTAAACTGCCATCACAAATCCTTAGAATAAAACAAAATTTCTATGGGAAATAAAAAAAGGAGCATAAAATGTGTGAGGTAACACTAGTGATAGGACATGTTAACATATTTAGGAACTATTTTTATCCAGAAGAGTATATAATATAACTATAATATAATCTGGAATATATAAATATTGACAAATAAATTGCTAAATCATAAGAATATATTAAACGTATAACAATGAATCTGTTTCTCACCGAATCCTATCATAAAACAAGACTGACACACACAAAAACATTTTTCTTTCCGTTTTGAAATAGGTTCTTTTTTTCAATGCTTATTTAATTTAAATTATCAAATTAACACATTTTCCAAACTCCTTAAAAGTACAGATAAATATTAACACTATTTTTTCTGTTATTTGTAATGTGGATTATTATTCTTTCCTGTGTTTTTTAACTGCTATCAGATTGAGTTAACTGTGGGTATTGACATCCAAGTGAACTGGGAGTCAACTTTATCTAATTTATACAGTACAAAGTCCGAGATTCGGATTCATCAGGACTTCTATGATTCCGAATTTAAGAATTTTCTGGATTTTAGATTATCAGTTTAAATCTAGTAAGATCACATGCAGAAATTATAGAATTAAAAATATGAAATATCAATTTATGAAATAATAAAGCATTTATGACTTTAAAAAAAATCAAAATTTACCAAAAAAAGGGCTTTATATTTATTTGTTTACTTTATTAAATATTTCTTTCAATATTGTATAAGTTGCTTCATTTTTGTGCTAATAATGTCTCTTTTACTGCACAGATAGATATAACTTTTTTATTTAATCATAAAGTTCAAATTCTATAATTATATTGTCAGGAATTCACAGTAATCTGTCAATCGAAATTTTTTATTCTCAACAACCTCTCTGTTACTTTTTTGACTATTCGTAGTAAAATGTTCTGGATTTGGAACCATATTACAGATTTTGCTGCCCATTAGTTGATTAATTATTGGAGCACTGTAACACTGTAATCGCAATGGAATACTTCTGTTATATTGTCTCCATTTATTACTCCTATACATTTCTTCATAAGCTGCATTAATTGGAAAATCTGGCTTTTTGTTTGCAATATACAGAAACCTTTAAATTCATGGCTGTCAGCACAAGGTTTAGCAAGCATCTGCTATATGCTATCATGAGGACTAAAGACATGCTATTCGGCTCAAATTTGTCTTACTCCTATCACGTTTTGAGAAATCAAGCCTGAATTATATATTATTTAAAAAAAATTTTATGCTTATTCGAGTCCTAATGAAATAAATGCCCACAGGGTATGCAATAAATATTGGTATAAACGTTAAAGGTACGTAGGATAATGCTAAAAGGATTGCGAATTGCATAGCAATCCATGACCACAAACGTCACCGTACATTGCTAGATGGTGCTGTTTACGATGTTTGAGCTGCTTTGGTTGGTGCCTGCTGAGTCAGGTTATACCTTCTACCATTATCTATGACATTATTGTGTAACTTGTTAGCTAAATTAATATTTAATTTTTGTAACATATCAGTTTTATTTAAAGTGGTAAAACTATAAGTTTTTATTTGAGCTGTAATTGATTTAGTGAAGCTTGGTAATGATTAATCTTTATTAACTTTTACGGATAAATTTAATTTCTGTTTGAAAATTTAAGTTTGATTTTATTTTTTCGACATAGTTATTTGCTTGGTATGACCTTAAGGATTATTAGTTTTTAAATTTTGATTTTATGCTACACTGATTGGTATTTAAACATAATTGTTTTGCCAATTTAATTTATGTTTTAATTTTCCTGTTAAACTATTGAATCTTTATTTTCTGGCTCAGGTGGTATTTTTCGACAGTTTGTAACTTAGTGAAACCTTTATGTAATAGAGAGACTTTATCATTTGGTACTGTTAAAAAGTACTTTTTATTTATCTAAACTGTGAGGTATCTGCTTTCTCAAATTTGTCTGGATAATGTCTGTCATCCATTGGAAGTTATTGCTTTGAGGTGACTTTGTCTGGCTAACAGATTTGAAGAAACAGATTGCCTAGCAGAAATAGGGCCTTGCTGAGAGATTAGAAATTCGTATGCTTTTATTCTGCAAAGCGTCCTCAGATGGGGTGAAAACTAGGGTTTCTAACATGTGTTCTGGGAAATAGGGACTGGTGAAGATGTTAGATATCAATATGTGTTATTTTTGAAAAAGCATGGAAAGTTGGAGGCCTAAGTGACGGGAGGAGATGGTCAGGTTGTTGACTTTGTCTGGAGTCCTTGGTATGTGAAGGAAGAAGAAGCAATTTTTGCCAACTTCTGGTAGACCCTATGTCAACATTTTCCTAAAAGGCAGCACTAAAGTTGGTGGTTCACTGCTGTTTGGTTTGCTAGATGAGAAAGGGGCGAGTTCCTTGCTGAGAAAGTAAATACACACATACATACACTGTGTGGCAGATCATGGCCAATAGATCACCAGTCACTAACGTCGCAGGTGCCTAATGGAAAAGTATAATTAAGCCTTACCAGGAACAACAAATAAGTTATTCTTAATTCAAACAGAACTTTTAAAAATTTTGAACAAATTTCTCATCAACACACTTAACACTTCACAATTTAAGTTAGTAATTGTCATCATAAAAGGTTTCCCATGCTGTTTGGTATCTACTTATATTTAAAATAAACGTTTATTTAGGCATCACTGCGATAGTCATTTCTGAAGCTGCCATAAGTTGATAATCATGTGCCATAAGTTGATAAACATAATTGTTTTGCCAATTTAATTTATGTTTTAATTTTCCTGTTAAACTATTGAATCTTTATTTGAAAAATATTTGAAAAATAATGAAAGCAAAAATTAATAAAAAAATTATTTTCCCCCGTTGGTGTAAGGCTTATATGATATCTACATAGATGTTAAATTAGCAAAACTTTGACTAAATGTTTCGGTTTGAAATGTATGCTGCAAAATAAGGTGGTTATGGTGCCAAATTATTGATCACACAGATATATGCTAATAAATGATTATGTTTCTTCAACATGGAGTACTGAAATAAAATTAAGAATCAGGTACTTACTGCACATGCGTGAAGCATATGTCACCCTCAGAATATAACTTTCTTCCTTTTCGCAAGAAAATTCTACTTAAGAAAAAAAAATTGCTGGTGATTGGAAGGTCCAGATAGATCATTCTGGATACTGGACATCCCGATTTCAACTTTGTACTATATATGCAAAAGCAACAATTTTTCATTAAATTTTTTTTACTATACTCTGTACACATACTGTACATTGGGTACAATATGTGTGTCATACTGTGCACTGTTTATAGCATGAAATCTGTTTCATAGTAATTATTTTAATTAGCAGAAATATGTAGAAGATTAACTATGCAATGAAAAATAACCAACCTTATCTAAGGCTTGCTGCACCACTGCTTCACTTTCAGAATCAAGTGCAGATGTCGCTTCATCCAAAAGCAAAATTTTAGGGTCACGAACTAATGCTCTAGCAATAGCAATCCTTTGTTTCTGACCTCCAGATAGCTGAGCTCCTCTTTCACCAACGAGAGTGTCATAACCCTAAATACATGAATATTTAACAGCAAAACAGAAATTTACTTCTAGTTACACTAAATTGCACTAATAAAATAATTACTGCTAACAAAATCAAAAGAAACGTCTGAACATTCTACATATTAAGATAAGAAGATAGCTAAAGATTTTTATGTTAAACTGTGTCTGGCACATATTTAATGAAAAAAATCTACCCAGCTTTTATTTTTGAAATCACTGGTCACAGACATATACTTCCAGCTGCAAAAATGTTTTAAGTGATGCAGATATTCATGTTTTGGCATTTTAAAATTAATGAAATCAATTTTGTAAAAATTAAGAAATATAAAATTTTATATGTTTCCCTGTTCCCATACTTATACTTAAGAAAACATCATGGTCATTATAAAAAGCACAATTCAAAAAGTGTGATTCCCATATGATAAAAATTGATCAAAACATTTAGTTTTAAATTTGGACCTCATATTCAGTGGCCATATACAAATTGAAGAGAGTAGTGTTTACATTTGTACTTAACTAACAATAATATATCAGCAGGAAAAGATTTCTGATGTTAATAAATTAAGTGAAGGTAATTTCTATGAATGTTATTATTAAAAGTACTGAACCATATAATTTTTTTTTTTCAAAAGAGCCCCACCAGTGGTCCAGTACTTAAGACCAAAATACTGGGAGTTCGTTTTATGAGCTTAATCTTAGGTGAATGAGCTGGCTGCATGGTTGATTTTCATGTTTTTATCATGTGCAACATCAACAGATTCAGTCTTCCTTAAAATGTCCTCCATGAAGGCATCCCTCCATTTAACACAGGTAACTCCGTGTGCTCGTATTCAAATAACTATTAAAAAAGATTTTATTCATACAATCATACAGAATTCTTGTTCTAAAAAAAAGCTGACAAGCTTCAGTTGTCATATTGGCAACTTGTAACATAACTTGTATAAATTAAAAATAAAAAAATATTTCTAGTTTAACTAATTTTTTTGCCTGATCTTTAGATTAGGATTCTAAAGTGACATAACAGCATGAAAAAATTAACACAGCTCTAACATTTCAAAACTTACAAATTATTTGTGTGAAAATTCTTTTGACAAAGCAACTGTAACAAAATTATGAACTTATGAATTATGTTACACACTAATAAATTACAGAAAAATATTACTGAATGGCATTTAACCTTTTGAGGCCGGGGCTTCAAAAGGTAGCACTAAAAGCCTTGAAAGGACGGGGGATCTTGAACGGAATGCTTTCCCCCCTTTAAGAAATCACCTCCTATTTGCGACAAAGCTTCTTGTGTGCAGTTTAATGGATTCTTAGAGGGGTGCATCTATGTCACAAAAGGAAGGGAAGTGTAGGGATTAGTGACCAGACTTCAAGATGCTTTTCGTCACAGAGGGAAAATTTCATATTACAGTTGTTCCGGATTGAGACTACTGGGAAATGTGTAAATCTTCGTTGAAGAAAATGCCGTTCTTTATATTATACGACGTTACTTTCGTTTTTATAAAATTTTGGTTTGAATTTTAAATTACACTGCAAAACTATGTGTCTAAGTGCTTACAATAATTATTTCTATCATATCTTTATATTAATGTTATGTCAAAAAATAGTTCAACTATTTGATTATTTCCTTGGACAATTTAAAATTTAACCAGTTTTCATCTCAGTCTTTTTTTTTTTTTTTTTTTTTTTACTGTTAAATGTCCTTATAATTTTTAATTTGTTTTGGTATAAATATTATCAAATATAGCTATATCTTTGAACTTTCTTCCATACAGGGAATAATTAAAAAATAAACGCTTAAAGCTATAGAACTGATTAAAAATTATAGTTCAGTGGAACTGTTAAACTTATGCTCTATAGGCGTAATGAAATTTTAATTTTACATAATTGTTCAAAATCTGCTTGATAACATACTATTTAAGGAGGAAACTTTCAGCAAATTAGAATATAACTGGTTTAATTAAAAATTATTTTATTTTATTGTAGACTGTTAGTACTGCAATGTACAACTACATAAGTGCTACTAATTAAAATTCAGTTCTTTTCCAAAATTAATGCATAATAAAACAGACACTCAAAAACTTTTTTTTAGAATATTTTAGTTTTAAAAATTTGAAAAAAAAAAAAAAAAAAAAAAAAAAAAAAAAAAGATTATTTAATCATGTACCATTTTATACTGTTTATTGAAAATTAGTAAGTGATATATTTCAAGTATTAATAATAGAATGAATTTAAGTCATTAAAAATGTCAAATTATTTAGTATGCAAGCCCATAATTTCAAAACGTAAATTCCATTTGTCTTTTTTTTCCATTTGCCTAAAACTAAATTCCCAGCCTCACTAAGGGAACGTGTTCATTCGCGTATCAAAATTTAGGTAATTTCTTAGTGCAAAGAGTTTTTCAAATTGAAGGGAAAATTGTTTGTTATGCATAGTGTCTGCAAAAACTGTGTGACAAAAGTTACACGATAATTAGTTGTCTTCACTACTGTATTATGTTATTCTATATTATTCATAATTTAGCACATAAAGAGAAATTTCCAGATAATTTCAGATTCCGGTCAGGAAAATTCGCTCCTGTTTGAAACTGTCGTCGCCTGCGAATTTTTCTATTTCCACTATTGTTTAAACTAGTTCGTTTCAACTCCAGACTGTCTTTGTAGCAGCTTTGACATCAAACATGGCGGCATATTTTATATGGTGGAATTTAAATTGTTCGATATATTAGCGAGCATCTTTACTTGCAGTTACACAAAAAATCTTCATTATCAGGTCATGCGAAATCTATACTGACACAGTTGAATTACCTATTTTTTTCTTTCTTATTGAAAATTTGGCAGCTATTCATTGGTTTCATTAACACCATTAACTTATACTATCGTATCTGAACTACACTCATGTCCATAAATTAAGGATAATTCGGATTCACGCGGAAATCGAACTCTAAAATAAATATATCACCTGCAAAATCACTACACACATCTTCAAGAATCATATGCAAATTTCAGGAAGTAACCAGATGACATCGATGGTACGTCACAATGACGAGAGTGTAAGAGAGTGATATATAAGGAATACAGGCAAAGAAGTAAAATTGTTCGCAGGCGCTTTATAAGTATATCAGTGCAATAACCGAATAGTTATGACACAAAGGACGCATTTGGATGATTTTTTTTCGTGGTAGAATTATCGGCCGTCTGGAATGTGGGCGTAGCCAACTGGAAGTATAAGACGAACTTGGAATTGAACAGCGTCATCTCCAGGCTTTGGCAACGATTCCAAGATGATGGTAATGTGAGTAGACGTTACAACACAGGTCGCCCCAGAGTTACAACGCCAAATGAGGACAGGTATTTGGCAGTTACTGCCAAAAGAAACAGGCGGAGCACAGTCTCAGACCCGTCTCGTCAGCTCTCTTCAGCCACTGGTACGACAATTTCAAGGCAGACCGTGTACAGACGCTTAGGGCAGATTGGTCTATATGCTCGTAGACCTGTCAGATGCGTTCCACTTACTGCAACTCACTATCGCCTGCGGTTAGCCTGGAGTAGAGAGCATGCATTGTGGACACCGCAACAGTGGGCTTGTGTGATGTTTTCCGACGAGTCCGGGTTTAGCTTGCAGTCTATATGCACGCCGGACTTTCATATGGAGAGCTCCAGATACCCGTTACCACCAAGAAAACATCATTGAACGACACCGTTACGGTGATGCAGGAGTGCTCGTTTAGAGTGGAATTATTCTGGGTTCCAGAACTGACCTGCATGTTCAAATTGGAACCATGACAAGCCAAATCTATCGGGACGTCATTCTGGAACAACATGTACGTTTGTTTCGGGGCGCCATTGGCGCACAATTTGTGTTTATGGATGACAACGCCCATCCTCACCGTGCAAACATCGTAAGCGAATGCCTTCAATCGGAGGATATCGGAAATCGGAATGCCGTATGGACTGGCCAGCATTCTCACCGAACTTGAATCCAGTAGAGCACGTGTGGGATATGCTTGGCCGACGAGTTGCAGCCCGTCAACCTCCTCCTACATGTCTACCGGAACTTCGGAGAGCATTGCTTTTTGAGTGGTGTAATATCCCCCAAGATCAGATCGATAATTTGATACTCAGGGCATGCCTAGGCGTTGTACGGACTGTATTGCATCGTCTGGGAGACATACAATGTATTAACAATCATACCAACCGTGTAATATTGGATTTTTGTAAATAGTTTTTTATTGTAATTTGCTCCAGGGAGAAACCATCGCTAATTTTTTTAATAATATCAAACATATAGTATCTTTTTTTGCTCTTTACTTTTTGTTTAATAAATAAGCTTTACAAATAAGTCAAATTTGTTTTGCTTCTAACTCTTCCTTTGCCTGATTTTGCATTATGCTTAATTTATGGACATGAGTGTATTTCATAACTGAGGGTCCAAGGCACCAGGAATGCTGAGATATATGTCTAATGAATGACAAAGGCATTCAATCACTTAAAAGGTCAAGGTTCAGAAATTCAGATGGGGAACATGTGTTGTCTTAGAACAATGATTTGTACATTGTTTGAGAGCTTTTACATCCTGTTTGTATTCTCAGAGCTCAATGGACAGTGAATTTCACAAATCCTACTCTAATCCAATCTGAACATCTTACTTCAAAATTATTTGACCATGAAATCGAGACATTGATACGGAGGTACCTTTTAAAATAACAGTACATCTAGAATATAATGGCTAGAGATGACCTTTCAAACTGATTGACTGGTTTTAGTGTATTTACGATTTCCAGGTTTAAGACTGAAATTGTAAAACTACTGTTGTTTCTTTGACACAAAATTTATATTTATATTTTGCGATTTGTTTGAGTTACAGTACCATCACAGTAAACCTCCATGTGTGAAGATCACTTCAGCATAAACAGATATATATGGAAATAAAGACGGACAGAACTGAAGAATGTAAGAAAATCTGCTTGTATATGTATACAAGTACGTGGAAATTTATATTTA